ATGAAATTTGGACAATGGATGTAATCTTGGAGGGAAAATTGCAGTTCTCAGAACGTTCTTTTCATCGATTCGCTCTGATCGTTGAAAAGTCGAAAGTCATCTTCATTTTATTGCACGTTTCTTATGGACAAAACTTCCAACTTAGCCAGCGAGAAGAGAAGCCATGATGCAGGCACTAATATTGGCAATACTGTTTCAACACAACTCAATGGTTAGCTTCAATTGAAATATGTTCTTATTGTTCTCCTTACACTCTTTATTTTGAACTCTTTTTTTTTTTTTTTTTTTTTTTTTTTTTTTTTTTCGGGGTTTTTTAAAATTTTTTTCCTTTAATTTTTTTTTTTTTTTTTTTTTTTTTTTTTTTTTTTCCAAGGGTTTTTAACAATGTTATCTCCCAAACTTTTTTTGGCTTGTGGCAACTTGCCCCTAAACAACTAATTTTGACAATTTGCCCCTCAGTTTTTAAATTATTTCAATAAGCTCCATTTTATTAAATTCCCCTTAAATTGTGGATTTTAATTTGGAAGATTTCCACTGGGGGTTTAAATTAGATTTAGAAATATTTCATCGGAAAAATTTTTCCACGCCCTTTCTTTCTCTAGTGCAACGGATGAATTTGAAACATATTTTTCAAGTTTAGAGAGAATATTTGTAGTTGTAAAATACAAAGGGATAAATTAAGAAAAAGTAGAAATAAGAAGGTATGTTTATGTAACAACCACATTTTTTTCTTCTCTTTTTTTGACTATATATTTGATCTCATGAAAGCTTAGTCACCATTCATGTTAATGTAAGCCAACTACTATTCTTTAAAAAAAAAAAAAAAAATCCACCTAGCCTCTTAAAAAATAAGACAAAAAAAACTAATCTAAATCGAGAAAAAATAAAAATTTCTAAAAAGAAGCTTTCTTTTCTCACCACACCCATAGTGTATGAGGCAAATGTATGCATTTTGATTAGGGTCATATTCTGTAATTACGATTTTACTATATATGTCTTTTTCATTCCGTCGAAAATTGATTTTACGGTATAGGACGCTTATGACCTTCCCCTCTATGCTTTGCGGTAATGATTCTTCTGGAAAAACAAACGACACATTTTTCCCAGTCAAAAATCTTATTAAAAACCTTGTGATTGTTTTGTTTTGCATAACCAGTTATTGCTTTAGGGGGAGAACCGACAAATTAACAATTATTTAGCAAAAGAAAATAATAATAAAAAAATAAACAACTAAAAATAACATCATATTGATTAAGGGGTATTGTTTGATAAAGATTCGTGCTAGAAGGCTTCAAGAAAGTGTCCAATAACTTTTATTATGTGGGAAATTTGAATTGATCACACAATGTTGTAACTTATTTTATGTGCTAACTATGACTTACTAAGCCTGGACTCAATGGATTCTTTATGAATGAATTCTCCCATATCTGGATTATTATGCTTGGCTTTATTCAATGCTTGTGTTGTTCTGCTCTCTGACTTGGTCTTTGAATCGTAAGTTTCAGCCCGTTCTCAGCTTTTGCCTCGGTGACTAGCGTTGTTGGCCATGGTCTCTGGGTTTGATTCACCAATACTCGACTTCTCTACAAACAAATAACACAGATGCCGACCACCAGGTCATGAGGCTTTCTCAGGCGATGTTTTCTATCTACATTCCCGTCTCTTATGCTATATTTGGTAGGAAGGAAAGAAAATAGGATAGAAAGGAAATATGAAAGTGATGAAAAATAGCAATGATGGAAAGGAAATTAATTTTCTTTCATGTTGTTTGATATGAGAAGATGAAAAAAAAATGAGCTTACCTTCACTTGTTTGGTATTGGAAGTTAAATTGGAAGGAAAGAAAAAATTTTACTCGTAAATTACTTTTATACCCTTAAATTTTTTGCTTGGATGTTGATAGAGAAAATGATAGTTTAGTAACTTTGCTCACTTTAATGAGTTGTCCTTATTTTTCATCCCATTTTCTGCCCACTTGTGGAAAGAAAAAAAATAGTGGGGTCCACATGTATTATTTTTCACTTTATTTTCTCTTCCTTTATCTTTTCTCTCCTACCAAACAACTTATATTTTCATTTTTCCTCTCAAAATCCCTCACCTTCTTCCTTCCTTCTACTTTTCTTTCCTACCAAACATACTCTTAGAAAGAGCCGCTAAACGATCGGACCAGACAAGTGTAGGTAGCTTGACCGCCTTATCCGTCATTGAAACACAAGCCGGAGACGTATCCGCCTATATTCCTACCAATGTGATCTCCATTACTGATGGACAAATCGGTTTGGAAACAGAGCTCTTTTATCGCGGAGTTAGATCTCTAGATTGAAAGTCAGCCCATCAATTAAGGGCTCCTCTAGCCAGGGCCTTTTTTTTTTTTTTTTTTTTTTATATATAATTCTTACACCAAAGGCTTTAACTATTGAAGCTTATTTCTTTTGTACCCTGATTTAAGGCAGATAATAATGCAGCTTTCTTTCTTCTGAAATATTAATTGAAGGCCTTTACAAATTAATTTTATGAGAAATGACGTATAAGTTGATGGTTTTGAATTTTTTGAGGCACACTATGCCAGGGTACATGTGGAATATGTGCAACTGCAAACAAACATAGGGCTTTTTATTTAATTTTGACAAAAATTAGGGCTTTTTATTTAATTTTGACAAAAATGAACTTTTCAATTCACATAACTAGTAATATAAAATATGTTCAATTAAAGGTGCAGATGGCTAGGTGGAGTTGTTAAGTAAACAAACCATGTTCAAGTTTATTACGATAAGAAGGGATAGGAGAAGATAAAAGTAGAAAAGAAAATTTATTAATAATTATATTTGCTTTAATCTCACCCATTTTTTTTCTCTCTTTTATGCAATTCCTTTTGTTCTTCATTTTGTAAAGTTGGGATTTAAATCTCATAGATTTTAAGGGTAACATGTTAGTTTGGTCTGCCAATTGAGTAAAGATGCAAGAATGGGCTGGCCCGGCCCGGCTCGTTCTCCTTAGGCCCAAGTGGGCCGCGGGCCGGGCCTGCACAACCTATGAATTTTGTGGGCCGGGCTGGGGCCGGCCTGTATAAGAATGACCTTGGCCCAGCCCATGCCACGGGCTAATTTTATGTGGGCCAAGCTGGGCCGTGCCGCGGGCCAGGATGAGTCGTGCCATGGGCCTGGAATGAGCTAGCCCACTCAAGGCCCATCATGGATTTAGATGGACTAGCCCATCTAAGCATGTAATTTTTAATTTTTAATTTTTAATTTTTAATTTGAAATTTTAAACAAATTAACAATTATATAAGTTTGAATAGTTAATGGAAATATGAAAAAAGATATCTTATATACGATTACCTAATTAAATAAAAATATTTCTAAAGAAAACTGAGTGAGACAAAATCTTGGTAAGAAAAAAAGAGTACAATAAGAATAATTATACATAAGATATTTACAAAATTACTAAAAAAAAGAAAAAAAAACATAAAAATATTATGGGCTTAGATGGGCTGGGCTGGGCCGAGCCATTATGGGCCTAGACGGGCCGGGCTGGGCCAGCCCATCATGGGCCTAGACGGACCGACCTATCATGGGCATAGACGGGCTGGCCCAGCCCGGCCCAAGCCCGGCCTGGCCCATGATTTTTCATGGGCTGGTCCATGGGCTGATATATGTTGGCCCAGCCCCGCCCACTAATATTTATGGACTGGGCCATGCCTTGAACAGTGACGGCCCAACCTGTCACTGTGTCAGGATGGGCTTGGGCCGGCTCACGGATCCCGGCCTATTGTTGCATCTCTACAATTGAGGGTATGAGATTAGAACTGGTGGATACATTTTAGTCATTGTTTTTTTTTTTGCCCTTAAATTGTTTCTTGTTTTGATGGCTCTAAGTGCTTTTGTCCTGCTTTTTGGGGTATTAGTTGAAGTTGGGAAGAAATAATTTAAAAAACACATTATTAGGATATTGCCAACGGTCATAACTATTTTCAAGTCTGCCATCGGTGATGTGTTGGGAACCTAGAAATTCGTTGGAGAATGTCAGTAGAAATCACACAAGAACTGAAGAAACATGATACAAAGACTAGCAGCATCCGAGAGGCCACAAATCTTCCGAGGGTTCCCCAAATTCTCACAAATCTGATCATGAGCCCTCATTAGCTACTAAACCCTCTATTTATATATGATCTAATCTAATCTAATCTTGACATCGAACCTTAATAAACATAAAAGAGCTAAAATGCTCTTGTAAACTCTGGGTTCTTGAGCTTCCAAAAGAATGGGAGGAATGCTTTTTTTTTGAGAATTTTTTATCACCCATTTATATTTAATTCAATTAATTTTGAAAAACTCACAAGCACAAGTTGGATCGAATTAAATGATAAACATAACGGGTCTACTTGATCACACATGGCCCACCAAACCCCAACCCACCTTAGTTCTCTAATTTTTATAGTCTGCGAAACGAGCCTAATTACGTCACGGGCAGTGGCGGATTAAAGTACAGCTCCGTAGGGGCTATCGCCCCCACTCAAATTTTAAAAAAAAAATATTACCTTTAAAATTTTTAAAATTTTACGATTAAGCTCCAACTGAAATAATATATGCCTACACTAAAATAAATATGTTTTTTTATATACCCCCACTAAGATAATTTGTTAAAAAAATTTAGTGTACGTCCCCACTCAAATGAAAGGCTCACTTTGCCACTGATCACGTGACGTAAAGATTTGAGTTTGGACTCTTATCGAGCATGGTATAAAATCAAATATCATCAATAATATAAATAAATATAGATTTTGTCGTACACTATCACAAGTATTATATCAAAATCCATAAAATTTTTACATCTGTTTTCTTGCCTTCTAAATATATTATGTGTAAGTATTTCAGCAATCTAATAATTCTTCTCTCTTTTTTCTTTCGAGTTTCATATTTTACTAGAAGTGTGTGTTTTTAAACATTGAATCTGATATGATATAACGATTCAAAACAAAACTCTACACTTAAAGTATTCTTTCATAGAATTCTCATTTTTTAAAACTTCTTTTATCAATTCTTAGCGTCCTTTTTTCCTTTCGTCTACTTTCACAATTTGAGATACTTCTATCGTATTCAATAATGGATCTAACTTTTGCCGTGTAAAGGGGAATAAGACGTTTAAAAAAAAAAAAAAAAGGAGAAGATAGGAGAAAAAAAGTCATAAAAAATAAGTAAAGTAGACATTCACTTTTTTTTTTTCCGACCTTTTTAAAATAGTAGTTATAAAAAAATAATAAAAAAATAATAAAAAAATAAATTACACCAACACGGTTTCTTTCTGAGACTTACCCTTCCCCAGCCGACTCCACATGTGAAAATGTTCCAATAATAGCAGTTACTTATCCATGCAAACCCACGTGCAAATTTGCGTGAAAATTCTCACCATAATAATTAATTCTATCACTCTTTTTTTTTTTTTTTTTTTAGCATTCACTATTTAGTGAGAAAATATAAACATTTATTTTGAATATAATAATTGGTAATTATTATATTTAATATTATAAAATGTAGACATAAAAATACAATTCAATGCGACACACCAAATTATTGCAAGTAATTTTATTTCAATCTATAAATCATATCATTTCATTAAGATCCATAAGTAATTAAGTTCCAAAAAGATACGAAACAAATAAAAGATACGTAAGTGAGTTAAATAAGCATGTCAAGCTACAAATCATTTTCTTGTATAATCTTTAAATTTTGCAACTATAAAACACACAATCGATATAATTTTGTTCAAGGAATTACCCTTAGCGTGCTTTTTTTTATAACTTCAAGATATAAAAGCAGATCCAATCCATCTAAAAAGAATATATATATATATAAAACACATCTACGATAAAATCTAATAAAAAAATTGGTGGTCAAAGAAGACATAGGGGTAGAGTATGAAAATTACCCCACCGGAGGAAAAAAAAAGAAAGAAAGAAAAAGAAGAGAAAAGGAAAAGAAAAGAAAAAAGAAAAAAAATGAAAGAAAAAAGAAAAAAAAAGGAGAGAAAACTACATAATTTACTTTTAAAAAGTATATGAATGTAAATTTTTACTCTTTATTTTTAATTAATATCTTTTTATTAATATAATTATTTGATTATAAATAGAAATTTTAATTTATATACTTTTAAAAGATATTTATCCAAGTTAGACATAGTTGACCTCGTTTGAATGTGGAATTTAGGTGTGGGCGCAGACCAAACCCAGTACAGACATGTTGCATGTTTGACTTTTGTTTGACTTTTTGTTTTTAAAATAAAAACACATAAATTGAGAGCTTAGATCATCGCTAACCACCATAACCTGCTAGATGCACACCTATATATAACGGTCTACAAGGAATTTATAAAAAGTAATTTATTTTGTAGCGCTAATAAAAAGAAATATGAGAATTTCTTCGATAGTCTACTTTAATCGTAGTTCTAGTTTTTGACCATTAAATCTGGTCAAAATCACATCATATAAAAAAGTATATAGAATAGACAAATTTTAATACAGATGTAATGATTGAAAAATAAGAAATTCTCGATAATCTATTTTTATAGAGACTATCAAAAAAATCCCAAGAAAATATTTAATAAGTGGCACTAGTATACTTTTTGTTTGGTGTTATATATTGTCATACCACTAACGACTTCAACAGGATACTTTTTGTTTGGTCTTATTGTCATGCCACTAACGACTTCTACAATTGTGATTTGGGATTATTACCTGTTTAGTGTCCTTTTAATCTGTAAATTTAAACAGAAATTTAAATAAAAATTTAAATTCTTAAAAAAAGGTTACGTCAAATATGTTTTTTAAAGTGTTATGTAATTATTTAATTTACATTATTAACAAGGTAATAAAAAGAAAACAAAAACTAATAAATGTACATATATCATTGGTCAGTTAATTTGAGTTCTATATTAATATACATATATATTGAAGAAAAAAGTGTGGGCATCACCCAAAAGCAAAGAGACTGAGCGAAAGTGTACACTAATTTTTTTTTTAATAAATTATTTTAATAGGAGTATATAAAAAAAAAATATTTATTTTAATGGAGGCATATATTATTTTAATATGGATTTAAATATAAAATTTTAAAATTTTTAAAAGTAATATTTTTAAAAAAAAAAATTTGAGTGAGAGCGGCTACGTACTCCCGCTCATCTTCAAGTGGCTCCACCACTGCCCAAAAGGTCGTTCCCTTGACAAGAAAGGAATTTCTTGTTTTTGGACAAAAATAAAGGAGAGAGGAAGAGAGGGATAGAGAAGGAGATTTGGTTTTTTCAACTCAACCCACTTCACCTTTAAATTCCACCAACTCCGTAGCTTTGTGAAAAAAATAATGTTTCACACGATATTAATGGGTTTTGTCTCGAGTCCAATCCGAAACCAATACCAAAACACCTCTCTTTATAGTGAAGTGTTTGACACGGTTTTGATGGACCTCAAGCGTTGAAAGCATACATTTCTTGATATTTTTAGTATTTATATATGCTTTCTTTTTCTTCACAAAACAAAAATGGAGGCTATGAAATGGAACGTCCAAAAGTATTTAAATCTTTAAAAGGTGTTTCAGTTGAAGCTCTTGACTATTGGGTTTGGCCATTTTGGTATTGAAAGACAGAGAATTGTTTTGAAAGTCCTATATACTTTTTGTAGCATATATATATATATATATAAATATATATAACTTCTCCTATAAAACTCACTGATGTTTCAGAATCCAAAAGGGTTTTTTTTTTCTTTTTTTTTTTTTTTTTTCCATATCACAGAAATACTTGTCCTAACCTGAAGGAGTTCATAAAACGTGTTTTTGCTTAATTAACCAATGAAGAGCAAGATTTGAGAATTTCCCAGAATTTGTTTTCATATCAAAGAAAGCGTGGACGTATATTTGAAGCTTTCTTATCCGTGAAGGCTAAAACAGAAGAACTTTAATCGTTGCAAGTTAGAGAAATCTTTCATCTCTCAGTTCAAGGTAACTTACTTCATGGAATTGAAAAGCTCCTTTTCTTCATGGTCTATCTCCATGTTTCGCTTCTCTTTCCTTTGTCATTTTTTTGAATTTATTGCAGGTCTTTTTCTAGCTTGTAAAATGGATATAATATATATATATATATATACACACACACACACACATATATGTGTATATTACACACACACGTGTACATATGTGTGTATGTGACGCTTCCCTCAGGCATGTCAACATTATAAACTCCTTACCGACAAGTCTTCAATTTTGGCCAATGCCCATGTTTCCTTAAAAAAGAAAAATATTAGTGCATGTATGTATAAACATATATGTTTTATTTTAATAGTAATGTTTAAATAAATATGTTATGTATATACACAAATGCATGCACTTTGTAATTGCTTTAGATAGATATATTTGGCACTAATTACGTCTGCTTGCGTAGAGCACAAGTCATTTTATCTTCTTACGAAATAGTAATTATGATGTAGGGGAAAAAATAGAGAATTTGAGTTTTATTAGGAGTACTATTTGTGTTATTATTATCTATATTTAGTTTGAGTTTAACTAGGATTCCTTATTATTTATTGTTTTTAGAATTCTATTTGTACTATGAGTCATAAATGGTTTAGGATTTATCAGCCTATAAATAAGTTCAATTCTATTGATTATTCATACTGCGTCAAGTCCTTTCCTTCATTAGTGCAAATACTAAATAAATAATTTGGAGATAAAAAAGTTTATCACCTTTGATGGTAAACCTGAAGCTGTTTCTTTTATTTCTCTCTCTATTTGTGATTTTATAAGTTTAGATAGAATTTTGTTTATCCTTTCACCTTGTTTATATGATTCTTCACATTTATAGTGTGATTTAAAAAAGAAGAAGCATTTTTTTGATCTTGGATACTTGTTTGACAGAGTAAAGAGATGGGCTCCAAGCATGGAACTCCAAAGGCGTTTTACCCAACTTTGATGGTATTAGTTTTAGCCTTGAGCATCACACAAATATCAGCACAAATTATAGATTCTTCAAGTAACTCTCCACCACCAGGTGAGTCTTTAAGGCCTAATTCATTTTACCGATTCTAGTTTTTAGTTATAGATTTTTACAGTTAAAAATTTTAAGAAAATGTCACATTTAATTTTTTCTGCTACAATTAAAAGCTCTCAGAAAATGTCACATCTCAGTTCAAATTGAAAACTCTAATCCGCGAAGCCAACGATGCCTAAATCACTCTTAATGGTTTTATTTTCTTATTTTATTAAAACATGTTATTTTGTTAAACTAGTTCAGGAGTCAATATTCGAGGTCTGCTAAATGAGATGGATTTCTGTGATCATATTGCTCATCATCTACTTAGAATAGAAATATTATTTGGATCAGAAACTCTATACTTGTTTTGATGTTTTCAATTGCATATATATATATATATATATAAATATGAAATAGTGTGAACATAATCTACTACTGCATTAACCAGGATGAGAACTGAAAGTTCTCAGAATGCTCTACTAAGACACCATTGAGAATTCATAATATCTGTTTTGTTTTACAATTTTAGGAAGCAATTTGGTTGATCAGAATAACAATGTCTCTGATCCTATCCAACAAAAAGATGATACAGTGAGAGTGGACCCTCTAGATAACTTCAAGAAATACAGAGGAGGATATGACATTACCAACAAGCATTATTGGAGTGTAATTCTCTCTCTCTCTCTCTCTCCCTCTTTCTCTCTCTGCTGGATTATAAATATACATTGAAAGTAAAGAGTTGGTTTTGTTTTGTGCAGTCAACTATATTTACAGGCATTTATGGGTATGCACCTGGGGTGCTGTGGCTTGTGTGTGGGATTCTGTTTGGAGGATTTTCACTGGCAAACATATTTTGGTACAAAAAAAGAAAGAGTGAAGGGCTGAAGAAGAAAAGATCAGCTTGCCACAAGCAGTGCTACCTTTGGCCCATTTTACTTGCCATTTTCTTGACACTCCTTGCCATGTAAGTTATCATATTCAACATCTTGCTAAACCTTTATTCTAGTTGGTTTATCTTGATCATAACTTACAGTTTAGGGTACTTTGCAACGGTGTCCCCCGAAACTTTTTACCATTTGCAAGCTGGACCTCAAACTTTAAGTTTTGACATTTAGGCCCTAGATTTGATTATACTTGACAATAATGCAATCCAATTGATAATGGGTGTCAATAAATGGAAAGAAATTAAGGAACCCAAATGCACAATTTAAAAAGTTCAAGGTCTAACTTACCAACAACGAAAAGCTTGAGGTGCATCTTGTGCAAACATTATGGTGCATTCCGTGGCCATCAGTTATTAGACGGCTTAGACAACAAATTTTCAAATTTAGAGTCTTATTTACTAAAATTGAAAGTTAGGCGTCCAAATTGTTTAAACACTAGTAAATTCAAATTGCCCCAGTAGAAAGGGTTTTTTTTTTTTTTTTTTTTCTTTTTTTTTTTGAGAATACAGTACAAAGGGTAATTGATTTAGTAGAAAGTCATTGCTTTTTATGTAACTAAATGATTCGAATTCCGCAGAGTGGCATCTGGATTAGTCCTCGGTGGGAATGCTAAATTCCATTCAGAAGGAAAAAGCGTAGTGGACATTGTCATAGACACAGCAAATGAAGCATCGGAAACCATATATAACACAACTGGGGCAATGAAAGTTATTACAGATAACTTGGGGGCTTCTGGCGCAAATACTGAAGCTCAAGTCTCCCTTACCTCCACATCTCAGATATTGGATGCTGAAGCTGCTGAAATTCATAGGCAGGCTAAGAAGAACAGACAAAATATCGACAAGGGTCTTAAGATAGTGTAATCCTTTCTCTCTCTCCTCGAATTCGTACTATTTAAAAAAAGTAAAATACCGAAATAACCCCTAAGTGTTTACTCCATTTTTTTTTATAACCTAAAATTTGGATATTTAGGCTCGTTTAGTTCGCTTTCGTTGATTCGAGTTTTTAATTTGAGTTCAGATGTGACTTTATGTGAGCTTTTTACCGTAATAAAAAGTTAGATGTGACTGTTTCTGAGAACTTTTTACTGTAATAAAACTCAAATTGGTGAAATGAACCGGATTAAAGTTTTTTTTTTTTTTTTTTTTTTTTTTCCTTTGAAAAAAAGTAAACTGATGGACCTAAAATTTGCATGTTACTAATGGACATCTCTATTGCCTGCAGTTTCGCAGTAACAACTTTTGCTATCTGTCTGAACCTGATTGCAGTGATTGCTCTAACAGGTTTGTGTATTTCTGCTCATTGGTTCACAGTGTTCTTTCTTGAGCTAAACATCAATTCAGAACTTTCAGAATACCCAAGTCTCCTTTTGTACACATAAATTACATGAAACTGAACTTATTTTTTGTGGTCAAAAAGTTGAAGCCCAAGATGTTCATTTCTTATTACTCACTTGAAACTAACTTAAACAATGGAAAAATATGTCCCATGAAAGAAGTTAGGAAAACTTTGATATCATGTACAATTCTTGATGAACTTCTGATTTTTTTTTTTTTTTTTTGCCCCTTTTGCAGTCTGCGGAATACTGAGATTACGACGGCCACTTCACTTGTAAGTATTACATGGAAATCCCTTTTATTCTGTTTTCTTTTTCTTTTTGAAAAGCTATAATGTAACTAGAAGAAGCTTAGCTAAGCCGTTGGTAAATAAAGCTTGATTTTTTTGATTTGCTTTTGTTGTAGACTCATTATATTATGCTGGTTTCTGACTGCTCTGTGCTGGTTGTTCTTTGGGGCGTACTTCTTCTTGAATGAGTAAGCCCATTTCTTACTTTTTTAGGTGCTTTATTGCCTTCCAATAACATTTACTGATATGTGAGAAAATGGCCTTTTTTTAAAAGCATTGTTTTAATAAATAATCTCGAGTTTGATTAAATTAAGAAAATGACTTTATTTTTTGATGATCAATCAGTAATTGTCTGATTAATTTGGTTTAATCGCATAAACCCTTTTAATAGCCACCTCACCTAATTTCTCTAGCATTTATCAGGTTCATAATTTGCAAAAAAAATATAATAATAACAGAAAGCTCTCTTTCTTTCTTTCTTTCTTTCTTTCTTTTTTTTTTTTTTTCTTTTTTTTGCAGATTTGCCGATGATACATGCACAGCTCTTGAGAGTTTCCAAAAAAACCCTTACAACAACAGCTTGAGCTCCATCCTTCCCTGTGATGAATTGCTCTCTGCAAAATCAGTTCTGTACGACGTCAGTGCCGGGATCCACAACCTCGTTGATGAGGCAAGGAAACCTTTCAATCTTTTTTAATTATTAAGCTGCTTCTTAGAAATTAAACTGTACTGCAATTCTTGTTAAGAAGCAGATTCCATCAAGAAAACAAAAAAATAGTCAAGAAAATATTCAATTAACATGTATATGAAGAGGCAGATTTATTCATTTGACGGGCACTTCTATCAGTTTTGTAAAAGATTGGGGACTTGAAACAATATTTTCAACCCTACAATTATGTTTTTAAGTATATTTTAGGTTGAATCTCAATGACTCTTCATGTGTACAAAAAAATGAGAGGTCTGAAATTTTCTTCTGTTGGTAACTTTCAGGTGAACGCGAACATATCGATCTTTTATATCTGCAATCCTTTCTCAGAATCTCTAGAGTACCAATACCAATCAGAAAACTGCCCATCCAATACAATAAAAATAGGAGACATCCCAAAGGTAAGCCATGAAACAGTATAGAACAATGGAAAATAGGAGAGTTGTTTTCTAGCTGACAATTTATTACATAAGTCATGTGATAGATTGTTTAGATCTCGTTCGGCTACACATTGTCACATGACAAAGTCATGAGAGATCTGCCGGCTAGAATGGCGCTTTTGCACCGTCGAAAGTGGAGTAGTGACATTCGAAAAAACGGCATCACAAAATCACCAAATGAGTTTTGCTCAATCGCATCCTATCATATGATAATACAAAGTCTTAAGGCTCTCTCATATGGAAGTGTAATTGAACCAAACTCTTTTGATGATCATCACTATTGACAAGTGAATTGTGATCTACTTTGGTATTCTGCAAGTAAATAGTCAATAATAAACAAATATCCTAATTAGACAATCTGGCTGATCCATACTCTATATGATTTTGAAGGTTTTGGAGGCATTTACGTGCACAAATTCCGAAAACACAACCTGTGAAAATGGTCAAGTTGTTCTGTCAAGCAATGACTACAAAACTGTGGAGACTTACACAAGTTCCATACAAAACCTGCTAAACGCTTATCCGGGCATGGAAAGCCTTGTGGAGTGCCAATCAGTGAAGGACGCCGTCTCGGAGATCGTCGTCAACCACTGCAAGCCCTTGAAGAAGTACATTAAGATGGTTTGGGCATCAATGGTGTTCCTGTCAATGACAATGGTGTTTTTGGTTTTGTTATGGACAACCAGAGCTCATCATGAGCAAAGCCGTCGTTTTTCGGATGGGGGTTCTGTTGGACCCCATTCTTCAGCGGAAAATATGATGGAATTAGGCAATGCTAAAGCAGTTAAACATGATCCAAATCTTAGTTTAGTCTAACAAGTTAGCAATAGATGGTGGGAGACAACACAAGTGAAAAGAAAAGAAGAAAATCAAAGAGTTTCTTAGTAGTAAAGTTAAGGATACAATACTGTACATACATACAAAAACATGGCATAGAAGAAGAAAAAAGAAACGAAACGTCTCTGTCAATAGGGGATAGAAAATTCGTCCTTAAAGACATTATTTTTGTAGGAAAAACTTTTGGTGAATTCTTTTCTTCTTTCAAAATATAGTAAAAGGTGAGATTCTCAGTGCAGGGGAACCAACCCCATATGCTATAAGATTCATAATGTATGGAAATTTCCCAAGCAATAATATGTTACATTTCAGTTATTTGCCACTTATATCTTAAACAACAACAACAAGCCTTAATCCCATCTTAATTGGGGTCGCACTAATATGTTACATTTCAGTTATTTGCCACTTATATCTTAAACAACAACAAGCTTTAATCTTATCTTAATTGGGGTCGGCTATATAAATTTCACTTTTTCACGCAGTTGTGTTCGAAATTAGACTTTTTTGAAGGTCTAGATCTAGAATGTCATTCCTAACTATTTCGGTCAACGCCACTTATATCTTAAAGATTGTTCAAAATGTTGAGAGTAATTGTTGTGGTTGGTGCACGTTGGATTCATGTCCCCATTTGAGCTAGTTGATTTAATTTCGTCTCAATGATGGCTATATTTAGTCTGGACTCTTCCACCAACAAAGCCACCTCCCTATCCTATTAATAATTAGATACTTTTATGATAATGGGTGACGAGCGCTAATCGTACTCAAATATATTAGGGGGCGTTTAGTAGATAGATCTAAAATCATGATTCTGGATCATGATTTAGAATCAGTGTTTAGTTGTTGTTTGATTCATGGATTTAGAATCATGATTTAGAACCATTCTTGTTTTACGTGTGTTTTTTGTGAGAGAAAAATACTGTAAAGAATCATGATTCAGAATCAATGACGAATACAGGAAACAAACATCTCATTCTGAATCATGATTCAGAATCTGATTTGATGTTTTAAACCAGAATCACTCATGATTCTAAAATCACCACCCTCTTGATTCAAGGTGATTCAAACCCTTGATTCTAAATCATGGTTTCAGAATTATGATTTGAACCCAAAATCATGAATCGTAGTTCTGATTCTAGAATCATGATTAGAATCACTCTGGTACCAAACAAACCCTTAGAAAATGATTAGATACTATAAAGAGCGCTAAGATTGACTGTGGCTGTTAAAATTTAAATGGAAACACTCTCGTATATTTTATGTACTGCTGTAAATATTCGCCCGGCCAGGCATGGCTTGTGCCTACAAGGACCAATTATGTAAGAGAAAATTGCATAATTTACTTTTAAAAGTGTATAGGTCTAAATTTTTATTCCTCATTTTTGATAATATAATTATTTAACTAAAAAGCTTATTAATCAGGAGTAAAGTAAAAATCCTAACCAATGTACTAATATTTTCTAGATCCAACAAATTCTAGAGATCTTTAATGTTTTCCTATACTTCTATATTTTATGAGTTTTATCCTTTTTACCTTTTGTTTGATCGGTTTGTTTAATTGTTTTGTTTTCTTTTTTTTGGATGTTGATGCGCGCGTTGTTTTCAATTAATTAATCACCTTCGAATCTTTAATTTGTATTTTCTTTCCATAAACAAAGTAAGTGGAGCTTTCATTGAAATTCGGTGTGGGATATTATTGTTTGTATGAGATTTCTTACTTAGGTGGAACGCGCAAATAATACCTGATGAAAATAATTGTCTATACTCGCAATAGTTTACTTAAAAAATAATCAATAACCAACAAAAACCAAAATGAATTTCAGTAGTAGTATAGTAATACCTTATTGATATAGATGGCTATTTTGTTAATCAATGACGTAATTATATTAATTTGTTACACATTAGTCACTTTCATGCATGGATCTCATTATGAATATTCAATAATAGTTTATCACATAATTATGAGCATGCACCTGATAACCACATCCTTATTTTATTGCCAATTATTTGTCGTATTTGGTTTTTTCAACTGTTTGATCCCAACCACTCCATTTATTATGTCTATATTTGTTTTTAATATTATCATTTTCCCAATAGGAGGAGGTCATGGGACAATGTTTCAAGCTCAAAATTGAATTTAGATTTTTGAATGTTATTATTATTGTTGTTTTAATTTGAAAATAATGCTTTAATTATTATTTAATACACTATATATATCCATACATATAACGATACAAATGCACACGGATCACTGATGAAAATAAATAAATATATATAGTTAAAATTAAATGATAACGTTAATAAAAATAATTGTTAGTTTAAAAAAAATGATGCACATTGTTTTTTTTTTTTTTTTTTTTTTTTTTTTTCTGGGGTAAGTATGACTTTTCTTTGTTGCCGTATGGATTAAATTTAATAATTTCTTGTGTATTTAGTTGGAGAGATACAAGAAATCTTATTTAGCACTATACACGAGGAAGATGGGTTTCTAATTATAAGAAAAAGCAATCCAATTAAGGTAGACATAGGTAAAAGGTTCATTGTTGGATTTATCATGGTACGGATGCGGGATATACTTATAATCATATTAGAGTTTAGGCTGGTTTGTTTTGTTATTTGCCAATATAGGGTTTCACGATATGGTACGTAGCAATCTGATGTCTTACCACTAGGGCCGGCAATCCAAACAATGACACGACGATACAACTTGAATGAATCTCACTAATCAAGTTCAATTCCAGCAGCCACAACTGTATCATCTTGTGTCAAGACTATTTCCGCAATAATGATATCACAGGGTAACTTTTAAACTTATGTATACAAGATATTGATACACTAGATAGAGCATATAGACATTTATTATTCCAGCTAAACAAGAGAAACAAAATTTACCATGTACAAGGAAAACGTACTGTGAGTCCTTTTTTTTTTTTCTAATCACATTTTTAATTGCTTTAGATCTTGAGATATGTACGGGTAAGGTTGTCCAGCTAATTAATTTTATTAAAAAAGAAGAAGAACAAGAAAAAAAATTGGGTTAATTGATGGATCAGATCTGTTTATATGAACTTTAGAGAAACCCAAGACCACGAATTTACAAAACACCCATAAGAGAAACAGATCATGCCAAATATTAATAAACGCTTGGAAATATTTGCCAAACTGGAAATACACACAGCAATCTCCTCAAGACATACTTATTTAGGAGACAAAACGATGAACACGCATATATATACATACATATATATATATATATATATATAATATGTATACACGCATACTTCTTTCATATATGATCACCACCTAATTTATTTTACACGTACAATAGTATTATAAGCAAACCACCATAACTTTTTCTTCTCAAACCACAGCTTGAGTTCCAGCCTCAGCCTCATACTCGAGAAGGTGATTTTCAAGATCTTTCGAGACATCAGCGGCAAACTGAAGCAGTGTGTGGGGGTCTATAATTTCA